CTAACCGCTGGCGGGAGTCCGCCACCTCCGCTCCCGCTGCCGCAGTTCCGCGCCCCGTTTGCGAGGAAAGCGCACGAACGGGCCGGCCGACAAGCGGTAAAAGCGTTACAGCTATGAAACCAGAAGAACTGCCCGAACGAGGCAGGAAGACAGCACTGCTGCTCCGAACAACTGCCCAGTAACCACCAGCCCTTACAGACAGCTCTGTGGCTGTTTCTGTCAACGCCCAAAAGCCTCGCCGGAGGGTTGTCGCCGCAAAGACCCTGCAGCCCAAACTGCCGGTGACAGCGTGACTTCTAACGCTCTGTACCACCTCCAGTCTTCGAACAGGCTGCCTGCCTCCGCCCCCAGGTGTCACCTCCCCTGTCTGTCTTCTTCTGCTTTGACCTGTAGATCAGAAACTGCTGGACAAAAACCATTTTTTTAGATTTTAATTAAACATCAGGCGGCTGGGGAGGAGGGGACAACCCTTCCTCGCCTGCCCAACCCACCGGCAGAAAACTGGTTTTACCAGCTTTCCACTTCCAGCGCAACCATCCCAGCTCAGGGAGATCATGGTTTCCCCTTTCAAACGGGTGTTGAATAACCTCAAGGCGACGGCCCTGCCGAGCCTTTGCTGGGGAAAAGCTTCCGAAGGCAACAAAACCTCCGGTCGAGCAGACTCTATTTATAAGTGTGGAACGATTTCTTTCAGTTGGCAGGACGAGGCTGTTCCAAAGGTCTCTCCGACCTGACTTCAACGTGGTTTTAAACCAGCTGGCTCGTTCGAACTGAAATCCCTCTTCATTCCCATTTTGCCCCACCAAAAAACAGTCGTTCCTCTTAAGTAACTATCCCAAATTAGGTACGCGGGGGGTTGTGGTCGGGGAGCGCAGCACTGTAAGTACACGAGCCGAACCTCAGAAATTCCCATTTACATCCAAACATAACGAGCATTTTATACAGTACTGCATCAACACCGCGAGCCGGTCTCTGTGTGGAGCCTCTGCTGGGAGGGGTTATTTTATTTCGTAAGTCACAAGCCACATGCAGAAAAAATGACCTCCGACAGTTCTGAGCGAAAGCGACATTAACGCCTGATGGAATAATAATAAAAAAAAGTTTCAGGCGATACATTTTCTGAAGTTCAAGGAGGTTTTACCTACCTGCACCGGACCGGACCTGTGCCACAAACCTGAGCACACGCGACTGCCTTTTCTCAGTCTACTTTAGCCCTGGAAGAGCCTGGCCAGCGCACGAAGCCCACGTACCGAGGTGTCTTCAAGAGCTGGGTTCCGAAGAGTCGCAAGTCACCAGTCCAGCTGGGACAAGAAGTCTGATCATCGTTTTATTCCATCGATCGTTAATACATTTTTTTTTAAGTACAGCACAGCAGGCGCACGAGAGTAAAAACCGCACGACATCTGAACATGGAGGCCCGAAATCACTACGCCGTAATTACATACGACACCAAAGCAGCGGACAAGGCGCGCTGTTGCCTTAGCACAGGTTTCACGCTGCAACACAACCATCTTTCAGACTTCTGCACTTAAAAAACCCTTTGTAAAACAACTGACAAGTCCCTCGCTCGGCTTGAAGCGTATGGCCCCAAAGGCAGCACCACCACGCTCTTCGCATTCCCATCCCTCACACGCCTCCAGAGTCGAGCCCTGTTTTTTAAACGGCTGTCAGCT